CTAAATATTTATTAATTAATATAATGACAGGCACGAAGGCACGTAGAACATAAACGAATTAATTATGCATCGAAGTTGCCAGGTACACAAAACAAAAATATATCACGGTTAAAATAAGATACGTAAACAAATAATAAGTCTAAGTTAAGTAAAAGACAAAAAATTATATTGCAAAAAAGTCATTGTGTGATGCGGCGCTGTATTTAATTATTTTCTCGTTGATCAACATTCTAACTTATGTGGAGAAACTTCACCCAACTTTAACTTGCCAATTTTTACCACTAGCATTTTTAATTTTAAGATATAAATAATTCCTGAAATAATATTTTATACATCATTTATGAAAGCATTTGTTTATGCACCCAGAACCTCGTCGTATTTTTGCTGCGAGGAATGCTTTTGCTTTGAGTAATGAGCACTAAAATAGGCAAAGAGTTGCCAGCTTTTAACACGTTGAATGCGTGATGGTCACTGGTGACCGGTGAAGCCAAGAATATTAGAAACACAAAATTCTAGTAAATTTTAAATTTTTCTTAAACATTATTATTGTTATTAAAATGGTTTAAAGAAATCAATGCAATATAGAACACACAAAAACATTTTTATTTATGTACACAGAGATACCAACTGGATCCGGACAGCCAATAAATATTTTAAAGTGGTAATTTATTAATTGTGATTCTTGATTTAATAAAATCAATTTAGTAGATTTTTATCCACCACTATTTCCGAGCAATTCGTAAGCTTATATAATTAACCACTTGATAATAGTCATGCTAATCCTTTTTAAGAAAACTAGAAAAAACTGTCTAATACTTGCAATTTTAGTTTGCAGTTATACAGAGATGCCAACTTGCTCCGGACAGCAAATATATATTTTAAAGTGGTAGTTTATCAGTTGTGATTCTTAATTTAATAAATTCAATTTAGTAGATTTTTCTTCCACCACTATTTCTAAATAATTCGTAGGCTTATATAATTCACCGCTTTGTAGTACGTATGCCATTCTATACCATTTAAAAAGCAAGCAAAAATAGTCAAATATTTGCAAAATTTGCTACCGTTTTATTAATTATTTTGGCTTCTCCGGAGCAGTTGGCATCTCTGGTTATATACTACCATTTTGTCAGAGAGACAAGTCATGTAAAATTAGCGTGGCATTAAGCGTTTAAATAATGGTATTACAATATTTAAATATACGTTTACACGAAACGTCAGCCACTTTTTTACTAAAAGCTAATTGCATATTGCTACATAACACAAGATTTTCATATTGATCCAAAGGACATTTTTCTTCGAAGTCTCTGCTTATATAGGAAATAACGGTCGTTAGTTGTGAGAATCGCAACAATTATTCACGATTTTTGATTACCTTAAGAACTTTTCGAGTAAATTTTGACTATTATAAGAAATAAAAATTGTTTATTTTTTATAACTTTTTTTTCACTTTTTATGTGCTAATTATGAAAATGAGGAGGAAGAGAAGCCAAGGTTTTCCAGAAATAAAATTCGTTTTATCCCTAATTTTTTAATGTTTGAAAAATTATATTAGCACTGCTTCTTTTCTTGTGCGAATAAAAACTTACAAAACTTGAGAATTATTTATTGATTATAATGATTTTCCTCTAAATGAAAAAACTTCGGCAAAATTGGACATTTTTAACAAAAATTATAAACTATTTGTCAGGTCTAAGTCCTAGATAATTCTTAACGGCGTGATGGTACGTATTTAGCTCATAATTATAGCTTTGTTTCGAGTTTGAGGCACTTTAACTGCGCCATTTTTATTTTCCTAGACGAAATAGCTTTGAAAAATATTATATATCGCTCATGGGCTGTAATAGCGGCACAACTCAAAAAATCATGTTTTTAGATAAACGGGTTTAAAGTTTTCATTGCTAAGTCAAATGCATAAGAAATGCTTTAGTTTGATTAAACGAAGATTACCTTCAAGTTGAATTATGAGTTGTGATAGTATTGCTGCTGAAAAGAATGTGTATTTGCATATTTACACCTGATCTTAGTTCGAAACGCGTGTCTTTTGAGTTGAGACGCTATTGCAGCCCATGAGCGATATGATGACACTCTTTCTGTAATTCTTTTTTAAATTTATTTATTTACTTCAAGGTTCATGGATTCATCTAATGTTAAACATCCACAATATGCATATTTACCATTTGGCGAGGGACCGAGGAACTGTTTGGGAATGAGATTTGCCTTGTTGGAGATCAAGTTATGTATGGCTAACATATTACATTATTACATATTCAAAACTCATTCAACAACAAAAGTAAGAATTTTGTATGTTATAGATAACCCAAATCATATATTTGCTTCGTTATTGTTTTTTTTTTTTTAATTTAATGTGTAAAGTAACAGGAAGAAGAAAAAAAAACTACTCAGCTTTAACCAGTATGTATTCTCATTTCTTTTAATCATGTATAGACCACTTTATGTGGCCTCTGTTATTGAGGAGTTAATATAAAATTTTGGATAAGACATTTTCAATATAATTCAGAAACTTAAACAGGATGGCCACAAGCGGAAGAAATCTTGAGCCACTTACGCCAATCTACATAGTAACAGAAATAACAAAATAATATAATATTATATTTCTTTCTATTTCAATTGTATATTTGAAATCAGAAACGCTTAACCCCGTCCCGCCCCCTGTCGGGGGCATCCGGGGAGCAATTTTATTGATCAACTAAAAATACAAAAACAATTCCCAGTTTGAAAAACAAAGGGAAGATGAGTATTTACAATGAGGAATAGAAAGGGTGACTTGAATTCAAAATATAGATAGCAAAACAGATGAAAAGATGACTCCATCAACACAGTAACGAAGAATGTAAAAATGCAAGATATGTAAAAAGCAGATATTTGAACAGATGAAAAGTTAACTCGGTGTACAAAGTTATTAATTTTAACAGATGGAAAGCTGATCCAATCCATGTATCAAACAAGTTTAAATGTGAAAGTAAGTACAGGTGAAATGTTAATTCCATACACAAAGTGTCCTATATTTAAATTATAAAACTCAGGGTAGGTGGAAAGGGAACTTTCTACCTTTACAACAAATCGAAAAGTTTGATGGGGTTTGGATAAGTCTGAATTTCAGTGCGTGATGTCAATGTTCTGAGTTCGTTATTATGACGTGTCTGGTGGCAAGCCAGCGCTAAAGTGGCTTTCGATGATTCGTTCTATGCCCTTTTGCATAGCTGGTATCCTCCAGTGATGTTTGAGTGAGCTATAGGTCAGGTTTACCGGGAAATTTGCTTTTCTTATGTTATCAAATAGAGGGCAGTGAATCAGTATATGTTCCAGGTCATCTGTAACTTTGCAGTTATTGCATAGGGGAGATTTATTGTGAAACTTGGATTGGTATGTACCCTGGGTTCCGTGGTTTGTGATAAATTGGTTCAAGTAGAAATTTCCATAAATTTTACGGTAATTTACCCTCGGGATTAGATGGTGGGTATGCCTGCCCTGGTTTTGATCATCATCCCACATATTTTGCCAAAGATTTATATTTCGTTTGAACATCGATAACTTTACTGAACTTTTTGGCTTCTGGTCAAAGAGATCAATTTCGGGTCTTTGGCAGGCCAATTTC